TATCACGTTCGAAGCGATCCGGCGTTTCTGAGAACGGTAAAATTCACCATAAGAAATGCTGAGAAATCGAGCATTCTGATTGGTCGATTTTCCTGCAGCGCCAATCCACTTTTTCGACTCTAAACTGACTTTTTAGAAATGGCACAGGTTTTCCGCCCCTAGCTCGGTTGTTTCTGGACGGATTTCTGATTTGATGGCATCATTGTCCAGCTGGGAATGATAGCTTTCAGATGATACCACATTTGTAGTGATCGTATGACGGGAAAAGGGGTGAAACGGGCCACGCAAGAAACATACACATGCACCTGACGGAACTTATTTCGTGAATTTCTGAGTCGGGGAACAGGCTACAGGGGCTAAGTGAAGTATTATATATTATATATTAGCTTACACACACACACACTAAACCCGTAGGCTTACGACATTCCAGATTGATGCGACAAAAATTGCAAATAGATATCACTAAATAAAAAATTAATTCATAAACGTAATATCTCTTTTGTAAGTAAAAGGTGGTCCTGAGAAGGACCTTGTGTTTGTAGGTATAAACTGAGACAGTTTATTTGGAGCTGGTGTACTTGGTGACGGCCTTGGTGCCCTCGCTGACTGCGTGCTTAGCCAACTCACCGGGCAGAAGGAGACGTACGGCGGTCTGTACCTCTCTGCTGGTGATGGTGGATCGCTTGTTGTAGGGGGAGAGCGGGGTAAGACGGAACGAGGGGTAAGACGGAACGATGGCTCTTAAACAGAAACTGTTTAAAAATGGTCGCTGAAGTTAACTTTTTTTGAAAATATATCACGTAATCTTTCTATTCAACTGCCAATTCCTCGTCGGGTGCAAGAAATATTTTTAATAAGGGTAGACATATCATTTTTTATCCATTCTTATAGCATTTCATATGGTTTTGATCGCCCGTAGAATCAAAAACATACGTGTAATACATAGAAAATTATGTATTTCTAAATAGACAATTTAAAAACCTATAATTTAAGAAAAATTATAGCTTTTAGCTGTCTCATTTTTATAGCAGACGACATTTTGTAGATTCACGTGGTGGTGGGGTAAGACGGAACGATCGTTCCGTCTTACCCCATTTTCATTTTCAAGGTCAAGGTCATTCCAAGGCCAAAGGTCATTATCTAGGTATTTGGTGATTTAAGGTCATTGGGGCTGTTGTGAACTTCTGTGACCCATGATTAAGTGAACTAAGGTCAAGGTCATTCCAAGGTCAAAGGTCAGTATCTAGGTATATCACTTTTTAATACCTAGGGGGCTGCTGTGACCCCTGGCAACTCATGATAACGTGACCTGAAGTCAAGGTCAAGGTTTATAAGTCAAGGTCATCTCAAGGTCAAAGGTCAATATTTAGGTCTTTTGGCGTTTCAAGGACCTTGGAGGGTGCTGTGGCCCTTGGCGACCCATGAATAGGTGACATGAGGTCAATGTCATTCTACTAATTTGGAAACTTTTCATGTGTTAATGCAAAGAGAAAACGTTTCCTACCTAGTGTTGATCTGTGTATGAGCATAGTCGACAGGTAAATCTTTGTGTTAACTTTTCTTAAACTTAAAATATAATAAACATTGTACCATCTTTACATGGGTAGCAAGTGCTTTTTGGAAAATCGTTCCATATTGGTTATTTTACAAAAATACCGTCACGTGTGCTATTGAACTTAAAATAAAAGTACTAATATAGTACTAGTATAGTACCAGTATATGAAAAAACATCAAATCGGAGCATTTTATTCAGATTTCCTTCAGATAATATCGACCGTTCCGTCTTACCCCACCTGTTCCGTCTTACCCCACGCCTGGTAAAGTTGACCCTGTTGACACGGGAGACGGTTTTGATATGAAATGGTCTGTATAGATAAATTAAATTAATGTTAAAATCATTTTCAGTAGCTCTGCATTGTAAAATATTATAAACATTTTCAAGGAAACCAATGTTTAATGAACAGTAGCCTATCATGTCGTTGACGAAGCTGTTCATGATGCTCATGGCCTTGCTGGAAATTCCAGTGTCGGGGTGCACTTGCTTCATGACTTTGTACACGTAGATGCTGTAGGATTCCCTACATGGTGTTGGGAGAAGTTGGCAACTGAGCAACTGAGTCAATTCTTCTATCGTCGTGCGCTAGTGGAGAAATGTGTTGAGGAGCGAGGAAATGGTGGTGCGCGACTAAATATTTCGGCCTTTGCGATGAGAGTACGTGGTTCGAGTGCAAGTAACGTAGTTCGCGAGGGCAGAACTGATCAGGCCCGTAGCCAGTGTTTGAGCTGGGGGAGCGGAATTCCTTTAAAATCATGCAGTTTTTCACCATTCTGAGAATTTTTCGCATGATTTTTAGACAAAATTGTGAAAAGCTCCCCCCCTGGAAAAAAGCTCCCCCTTCTGGTAAAAGCTGGATACGGGCAAGCTGATATTCGCGTTGGTGGAAGTCTAGGAGGCCTGAACAAGAAGTCTTAAAAAGCAAGCCCAATTATTCCTGTTTAAGAACCCCTAATCTACTATCTGACATGAATCTACTTGTTGAAACCTACCATGCGCGCAGAGTCTAGTTATAAACTGAAGAAGTGAAGTCTAACAAATGCAAAGGGTAGCTAGTTCAGCCCCGGGGTTGAGACTTAAGCCCGGTATACACCAATGGGGCAAGTTGGGACCTCCATAGACTTAACATTGCGTGGGACCTCGTGGGACCTTTTGGGATTTTGCCCCATGAAGTCCGTGGGACTCCATGGGACTCCGTGGGATTTTGCCCCATCTTGCCCCATCGAGTCCCATGAGGTCCCATGAAGTCCCACGTGGGACTCGGTGGGACTCGATGGGGCAAGATGGGGCAAAATCCCACGAAGTCCCATCGAGAATGAACATGTTCATTCTTTCCATGGGGCATCGTGAGATTTTCGATCATATGACGTGTTGTGTGTAGCCCGACATACACCAATGAGGCACGGTGGGATTTGATGGGACTCCATGGGGCTTGATGGGACTCCATGGGGCACGATGGGGCATAGTCATCAAGGTCCCATGGGACTTCGTGGGATTCGATGGGGCAAATTGGGATTCGATGGGGCAAGATGGGACTCGATGGGGCAAGTGGGATTTTGCCCCATTGGTGTATACCGGGCTTTAATCAACTTGAGTTCTGAGAAAATGAGAATTTTCAGCAATGGTGCCATTGACTTAACTTTGGGATGCAATTGACTTTATCCTGCATATCTACGGTAGATATGACACCCTTGCTGAAATCCTCATTTTCTCAGAAGAACTCAAGTTGATGGAGTCTCAACAATTGATTCATGTTGGAGAGTATTGCTAGAATCCAGTTCAATAGTAAGAATAGGGGTTCTTAAACAGGACATAAAAGCCTAACTAATGCCTTTTTGAAATTTTTGTTGAGTACTTTTGTTAATGATCTCAAAACTAGATTCCGAATCGGAAATTGAGCCCGACATGTATCCATGGGCTTTCAACTAGATAATTGAAAGCCCATGATGTATCTCACAATCTCACACCAAAACCTACCGTTATGCTTTTTTGCCACAAACCACAGAGAGTAAATCAACAAGGGTGTGGTAATTTACTCCCCATGCAACATACCATCATGGAATAAGCAATTCATTGGTACCATTCGCACCCTCGCCAACTCGATAACACGTTTCTGTATTGCTAAAAACTATCAATTTTTACAATAAGTCTTAAGTTGCCCATCGTGAGATATCACAGCCTTCTCTCAGTTTCCTTTCTAGAACTCTTTCTAGAATTCTTGTGCATTGCAGAGATGGTCTGAGTATCAGAATGTAAGTTGCCGAATTCATTCCTCTTTTATAATTGATATAATTTTGTATGGAACTTCCATGAAAAAGTTAGTCCTCATGCCTAGCTAATGCCTAGGTCTCATTTGCTCGATTCATCGGCCGGCGCCCGGCCCATTGAGTATTTTGTTCAAAACTGAAGGTCAAATCTCAAATTTGAGGTCAGATGTAAACTCCTGAGAACTTGTACATAATTAAAAAAATTTAGTCAATATGAAGCAAGTTGAAATTAGTTTTGAACAAAATACTGCAACCGGCCGGGCGCCGGTCGATGAATCGTAGCAAATGTGACTCAGACATAACATTTGCTCCGATTCATCGGCCGGCGCCTGGTCGATTGAGTATTTTGTTCAAAAATAGTACAATTATTAACACAAGGCATTAACATGGAAAATGTCACCACCATTTGTTAAAGATGCCAACCGCCAATCGCAGTCACAAAAATGGATGTCATCACTTTTTGATGGTTAGATAAAAATACTCGCGCGGCTGATGAATCGGAGCTTATGTTAGCTAGGCATAAATTGCTATTATAACTTGAGCGTTTTCAATATTTGAAAAAACACTCGATTTGTCAAATATTGAATAACCATATATGTAAAAGTATCCCATGCTTCCCTTCAAAAGTGTTGTAGGCTTTCCAGTAAACTAAGTCAACTCTAGGATGAAGAAAAGAAAGGCCAACTATATCAAAAAAAATATGCTTTTTAAGTTGCTGCAAATAATTACAAACATGTAGAATCTGAATGCAAAAGGACATAAAATGTTATGTTTTTTTATTTGTTTATTTTATCCACCATTTCTGATATGTTATTTATTTATATTTATGAAGATCAATATGATAAATAAACAAATACGTGTAAATATGTGGACAACACTTTTTGCAATTCTAGGTGTAAACGGACATTTGTAGAATGTGTAAATTCAATATTTTAATGCAATTTTTAATAATATAATTTAAAATAATTCACATTCAGAAGTGTATGAGCAATAGATATTTTGAACTGTGAGTGATTCAATGAACAGACTTTATTTATGCTTTTTACAATGTCTCACTTCTCATGGGTCTTTTGATTTGGAAGATAATCTGTACCCTATCATCAGAAAATAACCAAATCATAAAATGAATAGAATACTGCACAAGTTACCGTTGTAGAGTGGGTTAATTTGGCGCCTCCTTTATTTTGGCGCATTTGAAAAAATGCCAATTTACAGGGTGGGCCAATAAAAATTGGAACATTTTTCTATTTATTCAATTTTCTTTATTATTGCAGTTCAGTCCACAAAAATTCAGATAACACTAAAATGATTATTTGTGAAAATGTTAAAGATAAAAATATGTATGTATGATTAATTTTGGCTTGTCATGGTCTTGATCTGTGTATTGAGTGCATCATGAAAAATTTTCAAATTTTCTCTTCTTAAGACATCATTGCTCAAAATACAGTATCTCATACCATACAATAAATGCCCTTCAAATGGTCTCAACACAATTTCTATCAATTAAAACACATGTAGTTATCTCTAGGAGAACCTAGACATGTCTTCCTTGGATAATATAGCTTAACTGACTTCAGCTTTTTTCAAAGCTGGCACAATATGTCTCAAACCTATCATTTAAGCCAAGCATGACTGTCAAATACAGCTCAGACCGATTGTTCAGGTGGGTGGAGGACATGTTCAGTGATTAAATGTTGAGCTTGTATATTCATATTTACAGAAGCATTTGACAATGAATTGTTTTTCAATTTTCTAAAGTTTTGAAGAAAATGCATGACTAAGAAAAAAGTTACAATCTATGAAAAAATGTTCCATTTTTTAATCAACGCAAGGGTTTCCTGAATTTGTCCTCCACACACCTGAACAATCAGTCTGAGCTGTATTTTATAGTTATTCATAGCTTAAATGACAGGTTTTGAGAAATATTGTGCCAGTTTTGAAAAAAAGAGTTGAGGTCAGTTAGCTATATTATTCAAGGGAGACATGTCTTGCTTCTCCTAAAGATTACTACAGTTTTAATTGATTGAAGTAGTGTTGAGACCATTTGAAGGGTACATCTTGTATGGTATGAAAGATACTGTCTTTTCAGCAGTGATGTCTCACACAGAGAAAATTTGGAAATTTTTCATGACACACGCAGAATACAGACCATGACCATGGCAAGCCAAAAATAATCATACATACATATTTTTATCTTTAACATTTTCACAAATAATCACTCTACCATTATCTGAATTTTTGTGGATTGATCTGCAAAAATAAAGACAATGGAATAAATAGAAAAATGTTCCAATTTTTATTGGCCCACCCTGTGCATCTTCAACAAAGTTTAAAAAGTATCCCCAGGAATTTTTTCTGGTGTATTTAAGTCACTTCTCAATCTGGTTAAGTTTCTACAAAATCTGAAAAGGATAAGGGTGATAATCAGAACATATCTCTTCTAAATTGGCTCAGGGGAGTTGCTTCATTAATAAATTACAATATATAGTAGTTGAATTGAAGGAATATTGGTCTCATAGTGTTGTCCAAGTCATAGTGTTTGCTAAATTAAGTAGCCGCCAATATGCCAAAAATCATCATGATAAACTGTGACATCTCATTTCTTCTCAGATGCTATGAGTGATTGAATGGACAAAAATGGCAAATTGCCAAATTAACCCTATTTACAGCTAATAATTTAATGATGGCTCAGACCCCCACATACCCCCTTTTTATCAAATCTTATTAAACATAATAAAGTTGAATGTACATGTACATTATCTGCCACTAATTGTTCAACGATCTTTCTATAATATACCCTTTCACTCCTATAAAAATTACTATTGCTAAAAAATATTGCAATTGTTCAACCCTTCCCCTAAATGAGAGTGATTATGTTGAACTTATTGCCAAACATACAAGACAGTCCTAATTGTCAACTACTCTCTCATTGCTTCTTGTCACCCTATTGTCTGTTTCTGTTTCTGCTGTAACTGTCCATGTAGTTCTTCCTTCATCTTGACCAGCAAGTTAGGGTTACACAGAACATCTATTGCTGTCATAGCCAGACACTTGCTCTGCCTGAGTGTATAATCCTGAGCTTCTTGTGTACCTAGAAAATACATGGCATGTTTTTAGTATGTTCAATCTTGCTTTTAATTCTTAGGACCTCCTCACCTCCAGATTGTGAGGGAGGGGACAGAGACATGGTGATTAATGCACTGCCTGTATTTATTGCCTGCTGAGCACATCTGATGAGCTTGGATGTTTAAAGGGGAATGATCCAATTATGAGGTCATTGAAAAAACACTGGCTTTCTGAGTATTTGGTGATCTACTTTTAGTGGTTTATTCTAATTTGAAACATTTGATGAACTATCATGATAAAAATATGGAAAAAGGTTTAAAGTGTGTTTGTGGTACTTGCAGAAGGGTGTAACCAAAACAAAAAAGTGAGAGGCTGGATTAAATGGCCAAAGAGGACATTACTTATTTTATGAGACATAAAAAATGTATGTACGGTATTATTGTTTAACAGAAAAACGTCTATCTGTAAAGTTTTGCCAGGGGAACTGACACCCGACACAAGTACATCTCAAATCCTCGCTAGTTCACCACGAACTCTGCTGAATAAAGAAATAACCTGCAGTGGCCTAAAAAATTATGAAAATAACATAGAACATGTACCTGATGCTACTGCAAATTCCCTTGTATGATTAGCAACAGAGGTTCCAATGTAGTACATAGGGTGAATGGATGGTAGTAACTGAGAAACATTGCCAAAGTCTGTAGACCCAGTTGGTGACTTTGTAAGAGCCTCATCTGTACAAAGAGCCACCTTGGCCTCATCTGTGTTTGCCTCATACAGTCCAGCTAGTGTAGAGTTAGTCACCATATTTGCATAACTCTTTTCACCAAACTCAATATCGACCTGGCAAATATTTTAAAATAATACATGTAGTTAAAATTACTAGCTCAAGTTGATATGATTTGATTTGATATGTATATCGGTGTAATTTCCAATGTTGTCCCTGCTGCTTTCTGATAATGATAGTTTGACACTATAAAGCTGAGCACCCCCTCCAAAAAAACTGCAATTTCAGGCTTCCCCACTATGGAAAGGCCAGACAGTCAGTTCTATACATATATTTAATACAGAGTAAGTTATAATACATTGTATTATATCTCTTGTTCTCTCATGAAACATACTACTATAGTAGTACATAATTGTTCATAGGAAATGCTTCCAATAATAAACATTCCTACTTTTCATCCAACCAGTGCAATCAAAATGGTGATCATGATCAAATGGCATAGTACATATAGGGTTTTAGATATGTGAAATGAAAAACTTTAAGGCTACACAACTGTGCTGACCTCACATCCTGTTGCCATAGCAGCTGCTTGGAAACATTGTGTTGCCTTCTGGGAAAGCACCTTCAGTTCAGCTACAGTAGGTGCACGCAGATAGAAACACAACTCAGTATTTTCTGGGATAATGTTAGGCTTGGAGCCGCCATTTGTAATGATACCTTCCAAATAAAAACATGTACATCTTGGTATTAATTTAAAACACACAGTGTATATAATATAGGGTGTACAGCTACATGGCATAGTCTCTGTAGAACCTAAAAATGCAGCAACAGATAATCAGAGTGGTCTCATACATGCTGTTAACTGATTAATTGATTTTTTTTGCATTTCATAGTTAGATGCTAAACTATGTCGTTTAATTTATCACTGAAGGCTTTGGTAATTTTTAAACAAAATTTTTAAAATGCAAAATCAGCAAAAATGTAGTTCTGCCAGAGATATACTTAGGGGAGGCATCAAAAGTTCGATGTCGGATCGGAAACTAAATAAATCTAGTTTTGACTCTGACCGGGTGACCCCCCTCCCCCTAAAACTAAATACCATGAAAGTTGATCGCTGACTTCCGGTTTGAGAATTTGAAAAATTATTGCTAAACACGTTCTAGTTTTTGTTAATTCCTATCGTAATTTGCAGCTTGTAACAACTATTGATAGAATAGAATCCATTGGAATGATCTTGACAAAGAAAACATCACGTAAAATCTTTATTTTTAAACCATTCCAAGGCATTCTGAGTCGAAATTGCCCAAAAATTTGAAATGTTGAAATTTGTCAGATAGCAAACTGAAACATGTTTGAACCCCCTCCCCCTAACTAGATTTATTTAGCTTTCTATCCGACATCAAACTTTTGATGCCTCCCCTTATACAAGTACATTGAGTTCAATAATGAAAAAATGGTAAAGTATATTGCTTAATATATACACACCATGTACTCTCCAATTTGGTTTCATCTGTTGTCTAAGACAAGATATATTGTTATATGAGCATACTGCAGCATCTAAGGCATTCACTCCTTCCCATGGGAACCCTGCAGCATGACTCGGCTTCCCGTGGTACTTCACTGTTACCCTAAAAATAATTACATGAACAGCAATGGGCAACATTAGAAGCATAAGGTGATAGAAATGATGGCACACGTACAGTGTAGTAATAAATGTCGGTTATACATATGAACAAACATTACTGCCATCTTTATGAAGCTTAAGTTTTGAAACTATTCAATGAGTTGCATATAATAGGACTCAGTGATGTCAAAAGCATGTCAGTGATCTCCCAAACATTAAAGCAAGTGGGCCAACCACCCACCTGAGATTTTAAAAACAGGCTTGCACCCACCTGAAAATCCATTTGCACCCACTTAAAAATGAGAAAAATCTTGAAAAAATTGGCATGTTTTGGCCAATTTTGGTCTGAATTGTGAAAATCAGAATTTTGCACCCACTTGAGAAAAAATCCTGTGGAGAACACTGTACAACTAAAGTAAGAAGGTAAGTATTTACAAAAATGTTCTTTAATACATGGTTTGCCATGCTCATAACCAACATCAACCTACATGTCTAGGGCGAACTTGAGAGGTCTGGCCATTGTTATCTTGAATGGATGTGCCATCAGAGCAAAGTCAAAGTCATTGAAGACACCATGTTTTATCATATCGATCTTCCCACCTGCACAGTTTTCCTCAGCTGGTGTCCCAAGAACTGTAACCTAATATCAATAAATGTGCTAATTATCAATGAATGTGATAATTTTAATGAATATGATGATGTCGATAAATGTGATAATATTAATAAATGTGATAACATAAACAAATGTGAAAATATTAATGAAGAATGTGATAATATTAATGAATGTGATAATTATTAGGCCTAATTAATGTTATAATTATTAATGAATGTGATAATATTAATAAATGTGATAATTATAAATGAATGTGATAATATTAATGAATGTGATAATTATTAGTGAATGTGATAAGTATTAATGCTACTGGTTCTTTCTCTTGAGATAAGTAATGCCGATGATTGTTATTGATGATTGTTAGCATACTGTATCACTCAGAATTTGTTTGCTGGAACATGTTTTCACTTTTTGATATGTTGTACTCCCGATAATTTTAGCGTGCTACTATATTTCGGGCTTTTCGCGAGTTTGGAAAATTTGCGAAATATAATAGCCACCAAATTCGAAAAGTTCTGATTTTGAAGTGGAAAGCGTGGTATTGCATGACAAACCCACTAAAGCTCTAAAATCGTACATAAAGTAATCGCCAACCTATAAATAAAAGAAGCAAGACACAATACACAGGAATTATAGCAACTGAAGTTTCTTATATTTTTAAATTACCCGAATAAAGTGTATACACCCCTCCACAAAAGTTTGGCAACTGGAAGTGTCCTTGAACTGCATGTTAAAGTTTATTTATGGATGGAGATTTGGTTGAAGATTTCCAAAAGATCGTCAAGGTAATAGATGTCTGATCTATTGTAATTTAGGAACAAATTATGGTTCAAACAGCTACAGATTTCAACATGCTACTCATTGAAGACTTCCAGTTGCCAAACTTATGGAGAGGGGTGTACCTTGCCTATTTGTTGATTCGTCTCCAGAGCATGCTGTAGGGCTGCCTTGATTCCTATACCAGTTGCAACTCCCACCTCAGCTATAAGGTTGTGACCACATGCATGACCAATCTCTGGCAGTGCATCATACTCTGATATCACAACTACATGGGGTTGGGGATGTTCACTAGTTCCAAAATCAGCCCTGAAGCCTGTGGGAGATGTATAGTGATGCTCTATGTCAAATCCCTGCTTTTCAAGGAATTTTGTAAGTGTTGCATGAGCCTACAAGTATTAAGATATTCATCATTGAAAGGATTTCATAATTCTAAGGCTTTTAGCAACTTGATTCATCATGAAAAATAGCTTAAAATTGCAGAAATACATTAGGCCTTCCAATTAAATCTTGTATTTACATGGCTGATTCTTGTAAGCAAAGATTTAGATTAGATCTGATTTATTTCAGAAGTTAAATTTGAGTACAAGATAGGTTTCCAATCTCCTTAATGACATTATAAACTTATAGTATAGCTTTTTTGACAAATAATTTCTGTAATTGATTTAGTAAAAACATAATGAACCTTATGCTCTTCAAATGCAAGTTCTGGGTTGTTCCATATTTCTTGACTAAGCTGTCCTAATATTGCTGTAGATTCATCTATAGCCTGACATGCTATCTTCTTTAAATCGACAGCTTGTGTAGACATCTTCGAAGTTTGGGTATCGACATGAATGAGAGACAGATTTTTCTTGACTTGAGTATTTTGCAATCTGAAATACAAGTATGTAGATATTGTAGTGTACTAAGTATTGTAGTGTAGTGAGTCAATATACTTAAATATAACATGTATAAAGGTGTTTGGGGCCTTGGGGTACATTCAATATAATAAAATTACCAAAATATTGATCTAAATCACCATTGACCTTCAGATGACCTTGACCATGAAATGGCGTATTAAACAGTTACCTGCCAGAAATTTTTCTTTTAATTTTGAAATCCTGTTTCTGTTGAATCAGGTACAATATTGTCTCTGATTATATAAATCTGAATAAGCTGTATAGATATATGACAGGATCGTAGTCTGAGAGACTGCCTAATTAATATCTATTTAACTCCTATAACCCAACTTAAATCTTGTTCTGATATCAGTCTATTTACAAACAGATTGAGTAGAATAAAAATGATGTGTCTTCAGTGTTACATTGTATCTATGAATAAGTGAATGGAAAAAAATCAGCCTAGTTGGCTTACAAAAGACTAATCTAGCAAATTCACTACACAAAATGCTACCTCTGCATTTGTAGAGATTATTTACTGGGAAGAATCATGCATGGGCATTCAATAGAATATGATTTTTATACTGAGGCCAATACAGTGTATCATACTGACATAACTTACATATTAATATTTAGTATTCAAGGTCCAGTAATGTTTTTTTGGTGTACTGGTGATCACTTTTTTAAAGTTTTTCTACAGGAATATTTTTGCTTGACAATAATCAGGTAAAATACATATTTGCATGACATATTCTGTTACGCAAAAAAACCTGGCGTAGTCATATAAATCTGACCCTCGTATGATGTTATCTGTTGTTATTTTTTCTGAATTGGATATTTATTTTTCTTATTTTCTTGCATACGAGCATCATACACACTTGTGACTTCCCTCATCTATATTGCGGGAAATGCTTTCCTGGCCTGTCTACCCAACCAAATTCTCACAAATGATAAATAAATTTCTTTGCTTCAACTATTAAGTATTTAATCTTACCTTAGGCACGTAAAACGCTTGGTAATTGAAGAAATATAAGCATGCCGCTTGAATTTTAAAATTTTTTCATTTTGCCATACAAAGGTCACTTCCAGGTTAATCTGAGTGTAGATGTACAACAATATCAAACGAAATCAAAAGTATTTGTTACACGAAGATTCAGTTGAAAGGGAAGCAGTGTCGTTAAGAAGGGAAGTTATTTAAAAAAGTTATTGTTTCAAAATGAGAAAAGTGATAAGTATGAGAGAACGGCTTTGGAATCGATCTCTGCGTAATAAATAATTATGATTCCGTTTCGATACATGTTTTACATTTAGACTACCGGAAACAACATTTAGCAACATGGCAGGCGATAATGAAAATATAATTCAATTGAATATATTTCGTCAATAGACTAGATGCGAGTAGAAATAATCTTGATTTACGTCATTAAATATTCAAAATTCAGTCAAAGTGATGTCATATTTGAAATCTGCATGTAAAAGTACATCTAGAAATATGGTTTCGAAAATTGTTTATCAACTTTGAAAATTTATTTTTTTTTGAAAATGTGACTTCTTGTTCGGGTTGATTCCCCATAGACCCCATGATACAAAATCACAAAAAGTGAAATATCTTTTCTTGTATTGGATAGATAACATTTTCTTTTACTGGACATATTTTAGTTTGCATAACTATTAGATACATAAGGGTTATATGAAAATTGAATCATTAAAACAGATGTGATTTAAGTTTAAGTGAACTTTCTCCTATACCCGCCATGCTATCTGACCCGAATGAGCCACCTGGTGGTGAATCTGGTAACTACCTACTCGCATCTGCGTTATTATCAAGCGTTTTACATGTCTAAGGTAAGATTTAACACTTTGATATTGGAGCTAAATAATTACTCGATAATTTGTGTGACTTTGGTTAGTATGGTAACTATGGTTACCCAGACCCATGACTAACCTGGCGTGACTTCAAATTTTCCAGCATGTGTGACAAATACGCAAATTGTGGGACAGTTGGACGGCCTGTGGATACTGTTGTGGGAAGTTCTCTCATATACTCTATATAGGGATAATAAGCGATCAATGTGATTTTAGCCCATATAGCTCCTGACTGATTTTGCAAGTTACAAAATGACAAATTCAACAAATGAAAATCAAAAATTTATTTTGAAATACGTTTGGTCATGGGCTTATACAGTTCAAAGCATCAATCTATTCACTATTGCTTACCTATTATTGTATATAAAGTTCTTTAGACCGTATACAGCATAAGTCTTGTTGGTTATTGAACGTAGCGTAGACATAAGAACTCTACAATGACATTTGGTGGAAAAAATATAGACTTAAAAAAGTGCTACCCGATTACGCAAAATGTTGACATCAAATCAACGAACAATCTGATTGTATTCTCTGTATTTGAAGTTTTAAATTTGTCCTTGGAATATACGATTTTAGATTTTGTATTTGCAGATTTAAATTCCTATGAATCCCTGTTATATTCACATAATTACATTTTGTCAAAGTCGAGGGTAACAGTGCTAAATTCAAATGACATGTTATGTTCGTTTTAATAACGTAGCCGGATGTTGTCCTTGGACAACGATCTTTCACGATTTCTATTCCTGATTATTGTCGTTCTTAGTGTAAAATACGCAAAATTGTACATATAAGATAGATTCATCATCTTTGAAGAATACCACATGTATGAGCCCGGGAGAATTACCATAGTGCCCATATTTATAATACGGTAGGAACTGGTCACATTTTTTTATCAGCCAAACTGAGACTCTGACAGTATAATACAACTAAATGATTACTGGTCATTGCTTATAGCGATCGTTGTGATATATTGTTTTTCAAGATTTGTCGCATATGAAACATTCATGTTAAGTGTAGAGATGTTTACATATATTGTTCCAGATGGCAGTCTATATGTTGTGATATAGGTTTGATGAGTGTTCGCAAATTGTTCCAAGTAACACGATGCCCATGTCAAGCAGCGTGCCTACTAGGCACGCAGTTTGAAACTCTGACAAACTGCGCGCATATTTCAAAATGTGAGACGGGGAGGACACGACTCCCAAAAAGAGCCAAAATACGAAAAATACAAGGTTAGTCTCGTTCTATAGATAGTACCATTCTGTGAAGATGAACTTAATTTACCCATAGTACTCAATGTTTTTCCCGATGTAAACCTAGTTATCTCAATATAAGGGTCTTAAGTAACTTCTGTGTTCAAAATTTACAGTGTAAAGTTATATCTATGTCTTTTTATCGTCTTTTGCCGTTTATTCAGCCATTGTGTCTGTGTATGCTAGAATATATAGGATCACTCCATCTGATTAAAACAGCAAAGTTTGTGTTCAAAACGATAATACGCCATAAACGTGATTTAAACATTTTTCTTGTCAAACTGCGCGCCTATATTCACATGTATTTCCCAAACTGCGTCTACTAATATTTCAAAACTGCTTGCCTATCCAAGCTTGTTTTGTATTATTAGAAAACATAAGCGCCATACAAGGCACATATGTGTCTAATAGTAGAACCCCATAATTGAAACACTATGAGAGTCCATTCACCAAGATGGTGATCTGAAAATAAATGTTTTTTTCGTTCCCAACTTAATTGTCACTTCTATTATACATTTTGACTTTCAATATGAAAATCTCATAAAATCTGACGATAAAGCAAAATTTCCAAAGCTACATCGAAAACACCTACACGTACCTCTGTAGGAATTCCAATGATAATATGTAGTTTTAATAGTGTATGCGCACAGATTGTAATTTCTGGCTAAAATAGGCGCGCAGTTTGTGGTTTATTTCTTTTTAATCTCCTGATTATCTGTTTTATTTCGAAATATTTTGAATTAAACATGATAAATGTGTAAGGAATTAAATATAAAACGAGTCTAAAGTATTTGTCATTTATGTTTAAAGTGCTAGATCGATTTACGTATAAATTCCCATTAAATCAGTGATGAAAATGCCATTAATCTGCTTATGTTTTAAAACTAAGATTCATTTGCACACAGTTTTTGCTAGTATTTGCAAGATTCGTATATTCGCCACAGAATGAACGCATTGAACAAGAAAACAATGCAGGATAAATGTCTTTAAATAACGTTTCAAAATACAGACTCCAACTTAAATGATCCAATGTTCTTAGGCACGCAGTTTGTGATCGAAACAAACTGCGCGCCTAAGTAGGCGCGCAGCTTGACATAGGCACCGTGAGTAAGGAAGTCACATGAGACATAACCTACAGTTAAAGATTTCCAAGGTTCACGAAGAAATTTAAAAATGTGCAAGACTAAAATTTTCACAAACACATGAAAGGGTACTGTTTATGAAGTCTATGTTATGAACCTTCCACACTAAAAATCTCAAAATGAATGCCTACATATTATATTATTTAACTCTGTTAAATGTCTCTAAATGAAATTTGATAATATTATCCAGTTTAAAGTTTGATTGTTTTGTCTGGATCCATTCTCAATCAGATTTTTCCTACTTTTGAATACAACTAAATGTTCCAAGATGAATCATTTCTTGCTTGGCCTTGTGATAAATTACACATATCACGATATTGATTCAAATTATGATATTGTTGATTACGTTCATTGTAACTGTGTTAAATATGTGTAGAGGCTAGAGTTGAGTCACTTTTCTCAGTTTCTGACCTTTTATCTGTAATGGTTCACAAACATACGAATTGATCATTTCAATTCTCCTTTTCATGGTTCGCTCTTTGAATCAGAACGTTCGCAAATATGCACTGAAAAAGCACTCAAAAAGGACAAAATTTGAATGGTCAATATTTTCCCACTATGCATTTCGCGTAGCTATTTGCATGACACGAAAGTTCTAAATCAAACTAATTATTACTCAATTTTGTTTTTTACACCCGCACGCTAAATAAAACAATGACACCATCGTAAGTATTCTTCTTTGTCATTGCTTTAATAGTCAGTATACCGAGTTTAATCAATGAAAGATTGTACAATGAACAACAAAATTCCGAAACGAGTACTATAGATTTGCTTTCGGACCACTGAACAGATTGACCTAGATAATAGCGACGCGTCTTCTTTGGAAGGAAGTATAAATAAGGAAGTATAAATTTGTTCCTCCGCGAACTGCATCATGGGAAATATTTTGCCCTTATAAGGAAAGATTTTCGCGTCTTCTCTTTTGAAGAGGGAACAACGATTTCAAGAATTTATGGATATCTATACAAGCCATTCAAGATTAGGTTTAAGTCAATAAATATTCGTTTTCAAGTCTTGATAAACAAAGTGTATTTGTAAAAATATAGAATGACTTGGTATAATATAATCCATCCACAATGGTATAAGTTAATAAATTGTCCTTGGTTTTTGTAGAATAAGGAAAAAATGAATTCCCAATGCTTCATATAAACCAGAACCACGGAGAAAGATTTTTATCAAAATCTCATTGATCTGTGGAAAGCAAGAGAAGACAACAAAATACACCTTGAAGTTTTGGTTTATGGATCAGTTGATTTTCTTGAAATAATGTCATGTTCTCTACATGTGAGAAAAGGCTGTAAATGACCTAAAGTATACTAGTTATATTATTTCAACGATTCAGTGACCTAACTATGTGTATATAAAAATAATCAGCAAACAATATTCTTAAACAAAATTTTAATGGCTTGTAGCTTCAGTTTAACTTAAATTAGATCACTGCACTGAAGGTGGGTGGCTGAACTTTCTATGCATGAAAAAGAAAAGTATAAAACTTCTGTCAAATGAATCTCCAACAAATAGTTTTCACTCTCAAGTCTTATTGATCCATTCAGGCCCATAGCCAGCTTTTGCCAAGGGAATGCACTTTTTAAAAAATCCAGGGGGTTCACATTTGATCATTTTGGCCTAAAATTGCTTGAAAGGTGCTCAGTATTGTGAAAAACTGTATGATTTTGAAATAATTTTTCACCAAGGGGGATTCGCTTGCACCCCCTAAACCTCCCCCACCGCTGGGCTATGGGCCTGTATTCTAACTTTGTTTGAACCAGGCTTTTAATTTCTTTAAGATAGTGACTCCTGCTACACAGGCCAGTTGAAATGTTTCGTTACGAAGCATTTTGACAAAAAGCTTCGTAACGAAGCAATTTTGGGCCAGTGTAACACCACCACCTTCGTTAGAAAAGCTTAGTTGATAACAAAGCAACTGAGTAGAAAATTCAAGGAAGGTTAGGTCCCAACGAAGATTTTTTGGCCAGTGTAACAGGTAGCTTCGTTAGAAAATGCTTAGTTGGCGGTTTGTGCATGCGCGTAATAAAGAGCACATTCATCATTTTGTATTAAAAGAGAGAAATCGCGAGGAAAAATACGTTTTTTAAGTACCTATTATAATGCTATGTATTGATTAAAATAATTAGCCTGTCTATTTACGGCACTGACTACGTCACTGACGCTAACTTAAGCCCTAAACGCCACGGTTCAAAAATGTAATTTCCCATCTTTAATAGCATTCATTTGACATAAAGTATCAAATCTAAAAACCGTAGGTTTTACCGTGTACCAATACGGTAGTTTTGAAACGTTTATTCAATCCATTAGCGAATATTAGACCTAGAAAACTCAGTCTCATGTGTGGAAGCGTAAACTTTTGAAATGACATAATCTATGCTAACTAAATAATGATGTGGCATACTTGTTTGATATTAAGGTTTTTTCTCCTCGTATAATCATACCTTGAATATAATTATAATTAGATGTTAATACCATGATACTATTGCTTCCCAGTCAATCACATCAGGGATTTAGCTGATTTAATTTATACGAAGATGCCCCTACTCAGAAATCGTATTCAACTGCCTATCGCCCTAGATTTTGCAATTCTTATCTGGTCGTTCCATTATTTTATTCTTCGACGATTTTAAATTGTAATTGAAGTTAAACTACATGTTCAAATAGATTGAATAAATGTTTCAAAACTACCATGTACATATGCGGTAAAAGACCTGCGAACAAAGAACGCTCTCCGGCCTGCCAAAACTGTTCCTTGTTGACAGGTATTTGTAATAGAGAGGGCAGCCTCGAAAACCAAAGTCCCACCTAGGCATTCATTATTATTGCCTTTAAATTATTGATGTGTCCTAAGACGTTGCTTACAACTGATATTCAAGTTTCTTCCTATTTGCGTCACTTTCGAATTCAACTGACGGCTGATGAATTAACATACTATTTTTATGGCCAACTCATTCAAATATGAATGGTATAGTGGCGGGTAATATTCATATTAAAATGAATTGGTCATGAAATAGTAAGTTAAATCAACAGCCAAATCTGAGATATTTAATAATGGCTACACTATTTGAATCACGCAATATCCTGGTATAACTGAGAAGCCCATTCGGGAATCATTTTTATACGATATTACATACTTGCCCCCTGCATAAACCCCAAATCCAATATTATCTAGTAATTAACTCTAACTATTCCATATGTTTTCCAAGAGAAATGATAGAAAAATGAGAAGAAAATATGTAATCGTATTGACTGAAATATATAAAAATCGTAGTATTACATTCATCTGGCTTTATTTTCCCGGGAATTTCGTTTTTTGTGCAGAATTGTTACAATAAAGTTTGAAAGTTATGATCATCGATTTTTTTGATTTAATTTATTTATTTAAGTGCCACGCACCTTAATCGGTACCCAGCCTTATCAGGCTTATGAGGCACTATACAAGTACATACATGTACATATAATTACAGTGTGTTATTTATACAATTTTTTGTCTTTTTTCAAGTGCTGACATTATAAATTTTGCTGTAAGTTTTACACAATTTTTATTTGAAAGAAGATGTTTCAATAAATCTTGATTATCATGAACCATAGGGGGTCTGATTATAGTTTTTCTCAAATCTTTGTAACAAGAGCATTCTAGAAGAAAAATGTTTCTCAGTTTCTATATGTCCATATTTACATGCCTCACAGAGTCTTTGTTCAACAGCATATATATCGACCGGTTTCTATGTTCAGGTGAAGAGTACCTGACTGAATTCTAGCAATAACAGATCTTTGATTCCCTGATAAAAATAATTTTATATAATCCTCTGTACCAAAATTGTCTTTAATTAACTTATATGTACGTAACTTTGGCATTGTAGTTATTTGAACTGTCCATTTATGTATAAAGCGATTCATTTCAGAATCTTTTACAGTTTTTAATGTTGACCTTGCACCTGAATTATTAAAGAAACGTTCATTATATAGGTCTAAAAGGTTAGCATTTTTAAATATATCTTTAACCTCTTCACACCATCCTCTATGGGCTTTTTCAGCATTGGCATAGTCAAAGTCAAATTTTCTTCGAGTAATCCTTGTAATAAACGAACCATTTCATTTTGATTTATATTAAAACATGGGCTTTTAACTAGAAAGCCCATGATTAAAATAATAAGAATATTAATAAATAAGTGGGTGGGGCAGATGACTAATGCGCACGCGCAACGAAGCATTTTAAGTGCAGTGTAACACCAAATAATTGCTTAGTTAGGGTTGGATAAAGCCAGTGTGGACACAAATTCTCGCTTACCTTCTTTACAAAAATGCTTCGTTAGACTCAACCCGGTAGTGTAGCAGGTACCAGTTATAGTTTAGAGGCAAATCTCTGTTCAGTCTACTGGTTTTCACTACTTTTGGTGTCATTTTTGTGATGCAAAGATTGGCCATATGAAATGGAAATTGGCCTATGTGATCACAAGAATTAACTGGAATCTGTTGCTGATAAAAGGTGGTATGTTAATAGGATGATTATTAAGTAAATGTGAAATAAGAAATATTGGTTTGTTTTTCTGATGAAATAATTTCCTGATGAATTGTTTTGAAAGCTACCAGCCTACCATACATAGAGATGTTTAATCACTGTAAACTTTAGCTAGGGACTTAAAAGGGATAAATCACCCAGGATTTAATGTTCCGGTCTTTAGAGCAACTTACAAAAATGTTTGCCATGAATGAGTGTTATTAAATCCATGAATGATATTTTCACATTTATATCACCAGCAGGATCTCTGTAATATCCACAGATGTAGGTACTCATTCAAGCTGATTAAAGGTGGAATCCATCATAGCTTTCACTGGCGGATTAGGGGGGGGGGCCCAGGGGCCCGGGCCCCCCCCCTTGGGTGGGCCCAGAAAAAAAAATTGGGCCCAAAAAAATTTTTGGGCCAAAAAAGGCCTTCAGGCCCCAAAAAGTGGGCCTTTTTGGTCATTACTGGGCCTTTTAAGGCCTTATTTGTTAATTTCAGGCCAAATTTTGAAGAAAATGGGCCTCAAAATTTCAAAATTTGGGCCCACTTTTGGATTTTAGGGCCCCCCCCCCCCTTGTTGGTTCCTGGATCCGCCCCTGGCTTTTGAGAGGTTGGGGAAATTGAAAGCAATTTATTCATCGAACCAACCAATACGTTCTTTACATTACAAAAAATGTATTTCTAGAACATTTTCTTGATTTGTTATTAATTAGACATGCCTTTAAGTTGAAGGAATACCTTAATGAAATGGACCATGGACTTTTTGATTTTCACAAAAAGTTTCGCAAATGAATGTGTTCAACCAAAAATACAGTATTTTTTAACAGAAGCATTGTTTAGTCTGGCATTGTCTCCCTCATCATTGCTGAAGTGAAACATAAGAAAATTAGCAATCATAGTGTAACAACTTATTCTCAGAAAGGACCTTATATAATAAAATCTTTCAAGTGGAAACCTTTTTGTAAGTAACATATCTCTATATGGAACCTTTCTTTGAAGAATACTTCTCTATATGGAATGGTTTTCTTAAGACCTAAGCCCAATGGACTTACATGTTAATGAACCATTTTTAGGAACACCTCTCTATCTGGAACAGTCTTAAGACCTAAGCCCCATTGACTCACATGCTAAATGAAACCTTTCTTCTAGGAACGTCTTTCTATATATAACAGTCTTCTTAAGACCTAAGCCAAATGGACTTACATGTCCAATGAAACCTCTCTTTTAGGAACACATTTCTATATGGAACAGTTTTTTAAAGGCCTTAGCCCAATTGACTTACATCTTAATGAACTCTCTCTTTTAGGAATACCACTCGATATGGAACAGTTTTCAAAATACACAAATCCCATTGACTTTCATGTTAATAAACCTTCTTTGTCTGTAAGGAACTCCTGAATACAAGGAACAATATTACCCAGGACAGATAGTATTTCATACATACTGGTCTACTATTGTAATTGTTCCTTTGGTTCCAGGTGCATAGAGCCAGATCAGAGCTGATGTTTTATATGCTACAGATAAAATGATGGATTAACAGGAAAGGCTAGCAGTCTACAGACATCGTAGGCTATTGCGAGTCAGTGACGCTATACCATATATTGATCTAGAGAAATCAAGAAGCAATCAGAATCTTTGCTTCGATTCAAGTCAGCTATATGTCAGAGGAAGTGTTTTTAAGGTAAGGGTTATTTTTATGCATTTTATGCTTTGATCTTCTGTGCTGAAGAGATGATGTGAATAATTGATCTGACTTTTTTATATCATCATTAAATTAACGTTCCGTGTATTATTATTGAATATGAGTTTTTCATCTTCTACTCGGTATGTATAATAGTGTAATTATAGAGTATATAGCTGTAGGTTGAGATCATATAGAGTTCACTAGCATTAAGGTAAGACAAGTAAAATAAATAATCTTAAATATTAACCTGAAGAATCGAAGCTTTTATGTAACTTGGAAGGTTTTGTATTTTATCAAGGACAACTTAGTACAATAAGTAACCTGAATCATTTACTCATAATGTTTATATATTTAGGATGAGTAGAACAAATAACCTGAACCATTTAAAACCTGAAGCTTTTATCTAGGAGAAGTAAAATAAATGCTTTGGCAAATTGAATCAAAGCTTTTATATCTAGGACAGTTAGATAGGTGATCTGACAAATTAACTGATGAAGCTTTTACATCTAGGCTGCTTACGTCATATGTAACATTGTCCATTAGGCATCACGATACATATTACAATAAATACTTTTATCATGGATAGGTATTGTAATAAACCAATGTATATGGGATGCAAATGGGATGTTGTAAACGATGTTATTAAGTATAATAAGCTACTACAAGGTAACTTTATAATTGTAACTCTCTATTAATTAGAGGTAAAAAAATAAATATAATTAATAGAATAAATGTATAATACAAGAACAATTTGTGTCACATATTCTCAAGAACACCTGATTTGGTTAGTTGAGGATTATATTTTTAGAGTATATCTCAAACTTCAAGACTTCAGATGGTGTAATTGGTCTATTTCGTCCATTTCTAAAAGTACTGAGACATTGATGTTTTTCTCATGAACATGCTTGTAATGAACTGTCTGAGGACTTGGGTGTAAGACTTGCTTTTCCTTTTGGAAGGCTTGATTGCCCAAACATGATATATTATTAGACATGACCCGGAAGGCTTGGAGTTGAGGTATCATCTACTCACTTCTCCTTTTGGGAAGTTATTGTCAGACATGAGACAAGAGTGTTTGACAGAATGATGTACATGGTGCCATAAATAGATTCTAAGGCCATAAAGTGGCACTATCTACCATTTTTAATATGTCACTACCACAAGTGGTGACATAGTGTTATAGTTTCCAACATTTTTGTAGATGGTGTTCAGTGGTTGTTCTTGGATTTTTGGCGGTTAGCATCTGTAACAAATGGCATGTGGTGACATTTTGCATGTTTTTATCTATATTTAAATCCAATGAATATCTTTCTAACATAATTTTATCTGTTTACGAAATCCTAGATCTCCTATACTAACAACTGATAAATAGTTATATTCTGAATATATAGTGGAGTTAAATAACAACCATGCATCCAAAGTGAATTTGTCAGATCCATAATTACTTTTGAGAGCTAATGTCATGATGATTTTTCTTCTTTTTGGAAGTTCATCCATCTTAGTGACTCATTAATCATTAGACAACAAACTACAGCTATCTAGGATTGCTGTAATGTGGATCAAATAGTTTTTAAAATTGCCTCTTTAAATCTCTTGTGGATTACAGTGACATTGATGTAGACAAGGGCATAGTCTGGATCTAGGTATAGGAGAGGCAATTTAAATAGGTTAGGGAATTTGAATAGATAAGGCAATTTAAATAGGTTAGGGAATTTGAATAGATAAGGCAGTTAAATAGGTGAGGCAAATTTTGAATAAACTGTTAAGTAATTTGATAATATACTTGGTCTTCACACTTTGAATGAATTTTCATAGAAATGAAAAATGAATTTTCATATAAATGAAAAATGAATTTTCATATAAATGAAAAATGAATTTTCATATAAATAAAAAATGTTGATAAGGCAACTTGCACTGGCCTCAGCTATGTCAGTAGTAAAGTATAGAAGAAGTATGGTTATGTGTATAAATGTGACATTATACTCATTGAAAGAATCCTATTTTCTGATATACAGAACTCTGAAGGCTTCCATAAATTGCATTCTTAATAAAACATGTACTTTTATATTTAATAAATGCATCATGTGGCCAACAAAACAATGTATGTAAATAAGAAAATATGCACTGGTGACACTTTCGAAAAATGTAAGGATTGTTTTAATTAAGAATGCTCAAAAAGTCAGATAATATGAGCAATAAAGCATATATTGTATGATATATCTTGTAAGGTATGATACGACTGTGATCAATGAGCAGATTGCAGTCTCACAATTTACAAAGAATATATTGATTTTCTGGAACCTTACTTTTACATGTGGAACCCAAGTATAAGTACATCCGAGCCGGGTTTCGTGCAGACCATTGCATTACATTAGATTATTAGAGATTTCATTTATTTGCAGATTATCCCGAAGCCCTATCAATCAGTAGCATGCTTATACACTCAAAAATAACCAAATATGTTTCAATTTTATGTTAGATTGTTGTGGTTAGCTCCTTTTAGTGCTGATTATGTCTTAATTTCCAGCTTTGTCACGTCTAACTGTAAGCAAGTTGTTAGTTTGCAAATATTGCTTGTTCTATTCCCTTCTTACATAAATCAGTAACAGAGACTTTATTCAGATAAAATGAATATTTATGAGCTTTGTCTTTTTGAACCACATACATGGGCGCTAAGTTCCACTAACCAGGCCTCATGATACATGCAGTTAGCTTTTGTTTTATCATAGCTCAGGCGTGAGGTTACGTGAATACTCGATGGTAAGATCATGGTATGCAATTTGATATGGTTAGTCCCTATGACCCCTCGTCTTGTAGTTTGGTTTGTGATATTATTGTCCTGTTGTATGAAAATTCAAGGAGGATACATTTATTTGAATTCTTAGAATAAAACTAAAACTGATTTATTTCATGGCATACTTGTTAAAAGTGGCCATTTAGGATTTTCAGACCTAAAATTGTATCTGCGTTGTTTTTTATTGCACCCTAGGGTGCTATATTGTTTTTCTGTTGGTTTCGAGCCAAACCATTTGATGGATTGAATTGAAATTTTTGTGCTGCTTGGAATCAAAATCTAAAAGTGTTTTCAGGCATTCAAAGTTTTTAAGGCAACTATTTTGTGATTTTCCTTCCAAAATTGTTGAAGAATATTGTCTACAAGCTTATTTTCACACTTCCTGATTTTCATACCTTAAGATTAGGTAAGGGGTAGAATGAAATGATATGCAACTCAAAGGTGTGATATTGTTCACCCTGTGTATTGTCAGATGACACGGAAAATGCAAAAGGTATAATAGTCTAAGCTACAAGCCCTTGTGACCACCCCCCCCCCCAACTATAATTGTTGCGTTGGTGAAGTAGATAAGGGGGAGGTCCACAGTGTTTAAGCAAGAAAGTATAATTATTAATTACCAGCACAGAAATTATTGTAATTTTAACGATTACATATACATGTATGATCAATTTCTATTTTCTTCTATCTGTTTTAATGTTTTTTAATCATACCAGTAATATAAACTTCCTTGAATCTCTCCACAATGGGGTGCTAAATCCTAATTTTGTCTCAGCAATGCATCCTTTTGACAGGGTGCACACAAACTTTCAATAGGGTTGAATGTAATTTTTAATTTTAAAATTACCAACAGGATGTTTGCTCTCATGATGGAGAAAGCACTGAAAATATAGTCTAGAATAATTTATAGATTCTGATCCTCAGGAAGTTCTTCGTTCTCTTGTCTCCTCAGAAATTACTTAACATTTTTCAAAATCTTCTCAATTCTCTAATCTGGGTGCAAGGTGCAACTGAACAACACAAGGTGATTTTAAAATTTTTAACTGGATGCAGCACCCCATTTGTCTAAAATCTGAAAAAAGCACTGCATGTCAAGATTTTGTTTTTGGTATTGCCTCATTATAAGCAATGAAGGATGTTTTTCATGAATAAAATAACAATAAACAGGATTTTATTGTTGAAGAGTGTGGCATCGTAAACTATCTTTTTGTATTTTATTGCTTTTTTCCTTGAACATACAAGCCTACTAAAAATATCATACTTGTTAGGCTTATTTGATGATACTTCTCTTGTAAAACTACACAATATCAGGTGTTCTTATATCCAGGTATAATTCAATATATTTTCTACATTCAAGGTATGTATGTAATCCATGCAAATTAAATTTCTTTGTAAATGTCAAATTTTATGTGAAGGAAGATAACTCTGAATGAATATATTCTATGACTAAAGTATGATTTTATTCATCGAATTCCATGTTAAATGGTTGTCAATCATAATGAATATTGATTATTGCAAAACATGAATGCCAGGAGTTTTGTAGCAAGACATAAATCTAGATTTATCAATCAGCATCTTCTCTGCAAATTTAGAGAAATTATTAATTATTAAGTTACTCCCAATCTTAGCATGCACTATTTGATCCAAAATACTTCAAAATCATAGATATCAAAAATAAGGATGTGTGGCATGTCTCGAAGAGATAATATGTATAAAACATATTAAAACCAGTTATTTCAGGCAATCGATAAGGAGGGCAGTGAAACAACTCTTACACAAAATTTAAGTTAAAATAACTACATAAATATAGACATAAATAAAACCTGTATTATCTGAACACCTCTTTAATCTGAACACCTCTCAATATGAACACGTTTCCGGTCAAAGGAGCACGTAGGTTATTGGAAACAATTTCAAACGATTTTGAATTGAATTATGAATATTTTCTGATCATGAACATGGGTGTATCTTTTAGATCCATTCATTATCTTCAAGAAAAGTATATGTAATGATAATTTAGTTAATCAGACCTAAGTGATATTGAAGGGGCAACGGACCAATCAACATACTTTTTCAAAAATGTTGACCTAATTTTCACAAAAAAATGCAACCTTTTTATATTGTTGAATGCATAATTAGAATGTGCTTTGAGAAATGTTCGATTTCTTAAAAGGAAAAGTTGATTGCTCCGGGACTTTAAAGATAT